GGCGACCTTTTGTTTCGCAGGCCATCACTCAATCCACTGAGCCACACCAGCCAGGGCTAGTTGTGTCTTTTAATGGCACTAAAGAAGCCATTCTTCAGTGGCATTATATTTATCATCAATATCTCTAATAAAAATGGCAAGTTGAGCCGTATCTATAGCATTGATGCTACTACCACCCATCGCCAAAGCATAAAATTTAAAGTTAGCAACTTTACTCTCCAAACTTCTTTCAATAGATTTTTTCCAATTTCTTTAATTTGCCTGGCTATAGTCTGGTTAGACAAACTGATTTCAGAAATAGCCCCCTATTTTTCAGGACAAATTATATCTGCCACACTTTCTATACATTGCTTAATAAACTCACCATCAGTAAATGGTTTTGATTTTTTGCTATTAAATATGCTACCACATAACTAGCTTTTACAATGGCATCCACCTAAGTTGTAATATTTTGAAAACATTTTTGTTGAGACTTTTTTCAGTTCCGCCATTTTGTCCTTACCACACAATCCTTTATATGCATTGAATTTGAGAGCACGTTTTTGATGTAATACTTTTTCAAATCATAGTCTTCGAAAACTTGCACAAATTCCCTACAAATTAAGCAGAGCGCCTTACTATTTGCCTCGACAAAAAAGTAGTCATCTGTCCACTTTTCATTGAACAATCTTCCTTCATCCATAAGGTTTCTGTCTGTTCTTTTTTCTTTTGAGGTTGTAGAAGCCATGCTGGGATTAAAAAAAATTACTAGATAAGGGACTTTACTTACTTTTATTATGAAAATTAACAGACAGAATAATAGAAAACAAGGTTCAGGCCCTTCCATAGCCCTCTGGGCTGCTGATGCAGGCAAGGTAGAGGGCTGATTATAAAGCATGGTGAGCGATGTGTGAGGCACCACCGAGGTGTGCAAGTACCTTTAATAATCAAATAAGAATGCTTACCTGACTTCTAAATAACATTAAACGCCTAATGTTGCAATGGTAGATTGAAATATTATTGATAATCGCTGCCTCACTAAGTCACCATGAGCACATATAATGGCTGTCAATTCTACTGTCTGAGCTTGGAAGATAACACACTGAAAGCCACACACCACTGTAAAACTGAAGCCACGAAGGCATACAAATAGCAAGAGCATACGTACGTTTACTTTATGTGACACTGTGACACATAATCACAAAAAAATCTCATAATGTTTTAAGTAAATTTACAATTTTGTATTGGGCCACATTCATAGCCATCCTGGGCTACAGGGTAGACACCCTGATTTAGGATCAAAAGACAGATAAAGAGCTTCTCAGATAAGAAGAAACTAAAGGAGTTCATCACCACCAAACGAATATTATATGAAATGTTAAAGGGTCTCTTTTAAGAAGGAAGATAAAGGATATGAACAAAAAAATGGCAATAAATACACATCTACCCTGGCTGGTGTGGCTCAATGGATTGAGTGCCAGCCTATGAACCAAAGGGTCACTGGTTCAATTCCCAGTCAAAGCACATGCCTGGGTTGCAGGCCAGGTCCCCTGTGGGGGGATGCATATTAAAGGCAACCACACATTGATGTTTTTCTCCCTCTTTTTCGCCTTCCCTTCCCCTTCTGTAAAAATAAATAAATGAAATCTTTAAAAAAATTTAAAAAACTCATACCTATTAACAATTAAATGAAAAAAAAAAGAAAATAAAAATAAACAAACAAGCAGAACATAAACAAAATCATAAATACAGAGAATATTTTTATGGCTGCCAGATGGGTGGCGGGTAGGGGAGATGGGCAAAGATAGTGAAGGGATTAAGAAGTACAAATTGGAAGTTACTGAATAGTTGTGGGGATGTAAAGTACAGCATAAGAAACAGAGTAGCCAAAGAACATATATGCATGACCTATGGACATGGATAATAGTGTGGGGATTGCCTGAGAGAGTAGAGGGGGTTGGTAACAGTGGAAAATTGGAACAACTGTAATAGCATAATCAAAATATTTAAAAATAAAATAAATGCAAAGCTAAAAAAAGGCAGAACTCTTGCCCACTTAGTTGTAAGTCCTACACTCTGCTGATGGAACTTTGAACCACTAATTTTCTAAATGGTGACAAAGAGCTTTTTATCTGCATATCCACTGGTCCAATGCCCATGGAACATCTCTGCTCAGTTCTTATCAATCTATTATGGCCTCTGGGAATCCTTCTGCCACACATTGGAGCATGCCATTCTCAAGCCTCTCATGAATTAGGATACCTGGTTTTGTGTTCACTAAACGTTAAATGTCACGGAAGAACAGACATCAGAATTGGACACCAGAAACATGTAAGTGCCTCCTTCAGTCCCTTTTAATCTGATTAGATGAAGTTCACTCACATATCTGCTATTATTTTCATTCTCAGACTTAGGATAATTTTCCCATTTATCAGTGAAGGTTTTGTTCATATATAGTCACTGTTGGTGTTCAGGCTTTAGGTATATACCTTGTACTCAACAATCCAATCTACATTTTTCCCATTGTTTACAAATATTGTAACATTTGCCATTGGAAAAATATTAATGAATCTTTTACCTACTACTTCCAAGGTGGTTGTGACATTTGCTGACCCAAAAGTATTATTGGCATAACCCATGAACACCCCAGAACCATTAACTCTTGTTGAGTTGATAGTCAGCCTTTCCTGATGTACAAAACTGAAGTCACCCTGATGCCAGATATTACTCTGTGCTTCACTTAGTCTGGCTGTTTTCCTTTATCCACATTGAGTCCAGGGAGCCAAACATATCTTTTATCAAGCATGTCACTGTAAATTCTCCCCCTTCGTTAAGAAGTTAGCTTGCTTTGGACACAGCTAACTCTGTGTCCAAAAGCTCTGATGGCTCCCCTCACTTCAGGGTGAATTTCTTTGACAGCTCTGACTTGCCATTTTTGTCTGTGGAGCACTGCAAGCAAAGGCGTAATACTTGTGCATTCCATTTCTGATGGTGATGATGCATTGGGATTGGGGACAAATGTTAAGTCCTTGGAAAGAAGTTTTCCCTCTCACCCCATGAGGGAGTAGTAATTGGTCACTTCTGGGGCAGTCAGAGGGAAATGGACCAGTGTTATCATTCATTACCTTCTTTTCCATACAAGGGAAGGTCCATGCAGAAAAGCTTTGCAGGATCTCTAACTAGCATAAATAGGACTGCTTGAGCTGCCCTCATTGGCGCCCATGTAATTGCCTGTATTGGTGGCTTCTGCTTTCTCCATGATCTATCCGTTGTTTTCTCACTCAATTGACCCAATCTTAAAAGTCCATTTTACAAATCTGGATTAGTGTCTAACAGCCTAATGCTATTGCCAACACTATTAACTCTGATTTTGCTGGATGGATGGATGGATGGTAGAGACAGTTACCCAGGACTCACAAATGGTTGAGAAGAGCCTGTCTGGAGGCTGAACAGGACTCAGAAAATCCCAGACGCTACCAGTGCCTCTCCTCACGGTGACTGCACTAGATTTGGAGCTTTTGACAAAGTGCAAAGAGCACTGCAAAGCCCGAGCCTCCAGAGCTGGGAGCACAGAGCAGCAGCCCCCCCCCAGACTCTGAGATGTAATTTACCTATCATAAAGCTCACCCTTTTAAAACGTACAATTTGCTGGTTTTTGGTTTATTTGGAAAGTTGAGCATTGATGCCATTAATTCCAGGACATTTTCATCACCCCTAAAAGAAACCCCATATTCATTAGCAGTCACTCCCCATTGTTCCCTTTCCTCAGTCCCTGGAAAACACCAAGCTAGTCTGTAGATTTTCCTGTTCTGAGTATTTCATATAAATGGACTCATAGAATATGTGGTCTTTTAGGTTTTGTTTCTTTAGCATAGTGTTTTCAAATCTCATCCATATTGTAATTTGATGGGCTCTGACCTGCATAATGAGGGCTTTTTTTTTTTTTAATCTGCATTTTCTCATAAAAGAGTGAACTTTCTTCAGCTCCTCCAAGGAGTTTGTTACTCAACAATGGTACAAAGAATCTCTAAGGGATGTGTATGGAGATTGGAGACACTAATTTGAAAGTCAACACCTTAACAAACACTTGCAAGGACAGCAGATTTGCCAGAAAGAGCAAACCTTTCTGTTAAAGTAAGACTTGGGTTTGTAGCCTTGCCAAAGAGCCATCAAGGAAGAGGAGAGTGGATGAGGGTCAACAGAATTGATGGCAGGGCACCCTGGCTCCTACACATTCTGGAGCCATGAAGGAGCTTACAAACAATACCAGTAGAGGCGGGAACTAAATTCATCTCAGGAGCATTGGGCCCGCCTTTGCTGCTCCCATGGAGGAAAAGACAGAATGAGAGAGGTGAGCAAAGGCCATGGCTCTGCAAGCGAAGGCAGTCACTAAAAAAGGTAGGCTACAAATCTGCCTTGCATAACTAGGCCCATTTCTAGTCTTTTTTCCCCTCATGATCCCCTCTCCCGTGTGTGTGTGTGTGTGTGTGTGTGTGTGTGTGTGTGTGTGTGTGTGTTGAATCACAGCCTAGCCTGAGACTTCTGTACCTCTGGTCAGGGCACAGGAGTTCAGTGTTGCTTAGCCACAGTCCTGAGCAGGGAGAGTATGCCAAGTGAGAGTGACCAAGGGAGATTCAATCACTGGGTACAGCTATGATCCCCACTTAGCATTCCTGAAATAGAAAATGGCAGCCCTGCCACTGGTAATTAGAGAAAAATTTTTTAAAAACAAAATATCTGAGGTAAATAAAGCAGAATGTTAAGATTCAACAGAGTTGAATGGTGGGTACACAGGTGTCTGCTTTATTTTCTCCACTGTGTGATTTAAAAATTTCATTAAGAAAACTATTTGAAGAATGAAACACATGTAACATTCATTCAGTCAAGTTTATTAAATTTACTGTGTGCTCAGCACCATCCTAAGCTGTAACTGAGAAAAATGACAAAACAAGGGAGAAATACACTTAATTTACAATCATTTCCACGTTGCTTTGTTACATGTCCTTATGTCATTTTGGGGTATGTGGTATCCCTCTTTCTCCATTCTGGCTTCTGGCACTGTTGGATTATGTGCCACTATGAACATTCCCTTAAGAGCAGAGGATGGAACCGAAGAGTGGCTTCCTGCTGATGGGGCAGTTGGGTAGGTCAGGGCTGAGCTTTCATGGAGGCGAGACATGTGGAGGGGGAAACGATCAAACTCAAGGACTCAGTGAATCACAGGAAAGCCAGACTTGGGGAGCCCACAGAGAGAGCCCTCATTCACCCCCTTCCCAGGGGATGTGCTTCAAGTGCTAACACCGTAAGAAAAACACTAAGAAAAATATGCATAGCTACATGTTGTCCCGGACATCACTAGACTTCTCACCTCCCTCTTTCCTCCTGATTTATGCAAATACCAGGCACTAGCACCACCAGAGACCAGACCAACAGGGAAGTCTGGTGCCTGGTGAAGAAGTGGAAAAGGTCCAACCTATAACTTAAGATGTCCAAGAGAAGGTGGGGACAGAGAAAAGGCAGAGGTATACAGCAAGAGACTATAGTTTATGCTTGGCTAGTGCCCCTGGGCCAGGGGTTGGTTCCAGTGCAAAGAGCATATTGGTTCTATACAGCTAATAGGGTTTTAAATTTTCCCTGAGGGAACAAAGCTACATAGCACAGGGAAAGAAATCTAAGACGTGCAGGGCCTTCCTTGTCCCACAACCAGGCATGCCCTCATGCCAGCTGTATAAGGTATTAAGTACTGGTATGAGGCAGAGCAGGCCCAAGCCAACAGGGCTATGCCACACGTAAGATGCCAGATAACATCTGAACACACGAGCAAAGAGCTGTATCCGCCTGGGCACAAGCATCACATGCAGGCCCCCAACCTGAATTAGATAAAGGGCTCAGGTCCAGCCAGCAGCCATGCTAAGGATACCTGTGCCCCTGAGGGTCAGATCCCAGTGGAACCATTATGAAGATGACAGAGAGGACACCCCAGTTAGGGGTGCAACAAAAATGGAGGTGGCTTCTTCTCACTGGCAACATGGCCGGACAGAGAATGCCTTGGAGGAGCGGGAGAGCGCCCAGGGGCCATGGGACCTTTCATCTTGCCCTTAGCTCAGAGCCAGATCTCATCACTGCTCACACTGGACACTCGATAGATGTAGCCCAGCATTGGTAGACGGATGAAACCTGCAGGGTCAGAGATGCCGAGAGTCTTGGTAACCCTCATTCTTGGAAGTTAGGAGACCCCTTTCTGCCTCTGGGGACTTAAGAGGCAAAAGTACAAGGGCTGAGGGGTGAAGGAGGAGGGTACCTTGGCTGGTGAGGAGGCCGCCAGGCTCTGAATCCAGAAGCTCTGGCCGGCTGTTGTTCCAAGCCATCTGCCGATCTACTGGTTTCCCTGTTGGGTGACAAAGGGGATGGTGCCCAGGACAAGGAGTGTGCCTGATGGGACCTTGTCTCTCCTAAGCACCAAGGTCTCTCTTTTTCTTAAAAGCACTTCTGAAGATAAAACATGGGCAAACAGAGGGTCCTGGATATACCTCTGGAATCTGGAGTGAGGTCGTTGAGCTGAAGGTTGGATGGGAGGGACATGTTTTCCCGTGGCAGGCGCACATTGTTGAGTTTCAGGTTGTTGGAGTCACTACAGGGTGGATAAAGCCAGGAGATATGACCTGGCTCCAGCAGGCTTCTTTTGGGCCAGTTCCAGAACCACCAGCAACTGCAGATTCCTATTTGTTCCCATGCTGCATCTCCATTCAGCCCATCCACCCAGCCCCCAGGAAGAGTTACCTAGAGATCAGAGACGGGCGCCGGGAGGAGCCTAAGGAGAAAGAAACCACAGCACTGTTTTCAGTGTGCCCACCCACTCTGGGCTCTGCCCCCCTGCCCTTTCAGACCCAGGATTCTCAAGCAGGGGGTCTCTCCAATGTCCACACCCGACAACGCCTGTCCTGCCACTTGTGAGAGATGACTTGTTCTGCCCAACTCTTTCTGCCCTGCTGCTCACCCTGACCTCAGCTCTACTCCCCAGCCACCCTCTGCCCCCCACCACTTTGGCCCTACCTTTGGTCTTCTCTTTCCTGTAGACCAGGCATGCCACCAAGGTGCTGAATGCCACCAGGGTGCCCAGGGATAGCCCTCCAGCCACAATGATGCCCAGAAGTGGCACTTCCACCCGAGTGGCCAGGAGTCCTGCAGGTGGTCCTTTGGTTAGGTTCCAAGTGGGCAGGGCCCCCAACTCTGAGGTGCCACAGGTACTCCTCTGTCCTCCTTGCCTGAGGTGGCTGGGGACAACTCATTCACTGAACTCATCCAAAGGGTAACAAGTTCTCCCATTTCTGTACTGAGATTCCATACTCACCTTGGGCAGGAAGTGAAGCAGTGGTGACACCCACATCATTGGTGGCTACCACAGAGAGGTTGTATGCCAGGCTGCGAAGCTGTAGCCGCACAGTGTGGTTGGTGAGCCAGGGGTAGTTCTGGGCATCCAGCACCAGGAAGTCTGAGGTGTTGACAGTCACCAGCCCATCCTGGTCGATCCAGGTCACATTGGCAGGTGGGTTGGCACGTACCAGGGCAAAAAGAACAAGCAGGAAGCCCTGGCCCTGAGCTTTCTGGTACGTGGCCCCGACCTGGGCAATCTCCGGCTTAACTGGTGCAAAGCAGAGGCCAATATGCTCTCACCAAAGCCCCTCATACTCCTTACCCTTTCTTCCCAAACCCAGAAGGGACCTCTCCTCAAGGGGACACTGGAAATAGGATGATTATGTCTACCTGAGAGGCAGCATTTTGCAGTGATCAAGAATGCAAACACTAGAACCAAAATGTACAGATCTAAATACTGGCTCTGCTTCTTGACCTCTGCCAGGTTGCTAACTTCTCTGTGCCTATATTCTCATACATAAAATGGGGATAATAATAGTAATTATCTCATAGGACTGTTGTGAAGATTAAAGTCAGTTAATACTTGCGAAGTGCTTAAATGTCTGTTAAATGTTCTATCAGACCACCTGCCAGGTAGCTGCTGGGGATCCCTGGGCAGTGAACCTCTCTCCCTGCCCACCTCATGGACACTCACATTGTACATTGAGGATGACAGAGGCGTTGGCTGACCAGCCACTGCCCGGGTCCTGCAGGGAGCAGTTGAGCTCATGCTGGGCCCGCTGGGCAGTGACAGTAAAGGTGCTTGTGCCTCCAGAGAAGGCCTCCCCATCCACATGCAGCAGTCTTGAAGCGCTGGCCTCCTGCAGCTGTCCATCCAGATACCAAGTCAACTGGGGGATGCCAGACCCACCTGTCACTTGGCAGGTAAAGGGGTAACGTTCATTCTCCCGAAGTGCTAGCTTGGCCCAGGTCTGACCATTGATCTGTGGCGCCAACTCTCCCCAACCTGGAACATAACAGGGGGTTCTGGCTAGGGTTGGTGCTGTTCTGTGACCAAGATTAGGTCATTACCGAGGGGCTGCAGGCCAAGAGACAAAGCACCTGGGTTCTCTCACCAGGAACTGGCTGGATCTGGGGTAGGTGTGTGAGGGGAAACCCAGCTCTGATGACTAATGCCTGAAGTGAGCACCCAAACCGAAGGGAGGAGAGAGACAGGAGACATGACTCCCAAAGTGCTTGACCAAGGGATGAAATGGGGTGTTGCCCAGGTTGAGGCCAAGTACCTGAGCTCAGAAGGGCTAGCAGGAGCTGCAGTGTGTGCGGGATGGTAGCTGGGCGTGGAGGCAGCGACATGGTGGCGCCGGCCTAAGACCCAGGCTGCAGAGAGAAGGGGATCAAACCAGGCAAATTTAGTAATTCCTCCAGGAATTAACTTTCCAGAAGCAAAAATAAATCATGCATGTAAACACAAATGAAGACCGACCCACAGGGATCACGGCAAGGACGCAAACAGCCAAGTCCAAAAGCCCAAACGCCCAAACCGACTCTCTGGCTTCAAGGGACACAGGCACTTCCCCGCAGATACAAAGAAACAAGAAGCAACCACGCAGCAACCCCTGGCCCGGGCTCGTGCGCGCACACACATACACAAATACTCCGCCAACGTGCGCCTCCCCCAGAAAACAATCCTACTCCAGGCCCCGTCTCTCTTCCCCCCTCTTCGCATCTCTCGCCCTAAGCCCCCTTTCCCATCCTTCCGGTTGCTGCTGAGAAGGTGATCCCGAGTGCGGGGGTACACGAAGAGTCCCCACCCCACCTTCTGGAGCGAGTCACCTGACAGTCTGCCGGAGCTCAGCCCCGAGCAACTGCTCAGGCCTGGCGCTCACTGCAGTGCGCTGCCGGGGGCAGCGCGCACCAGGCGTGGCCAATCAATGCCCCACCTCGCCGACGGGCCCCTACCCCCAGGGACAGGTGGACAGCAGTTGCCGACTCCTCCCTGCCCTCCCTGAGCCCTAGCCCGGGCTAGGACGGCGTTTGGGTGCAGACAAAGGCGGGAGTCGTGCGAGTCGGCAGCTTTATTGGTTTAGGGCGCGCCATTCCCTGGCCCGCGGGCGGGTTCAGCGTCTGTCGCTGGGGCCGTGCAGCTGCCCCATCATGTCGGCCAGCATGCGATTGCACAGCGCGGCGTACGGGTTGAGCAATACCAGCTGGCGCCGCGCGAAGGGGCTGCCCAGCCGCGCTGCTCGCTCGAAGTCCCTGCGGGCGTCGTCATTCCGGTCCTGCAGCCGCGCCAGTAACCCGCGCTGTACAAAGCTCTGGCGGGCAGTGCGGCCCTGCCCGCCGCTCAGCGTCACGGCGCGCTCCAGGTCCTCCAGGGCTCCTGTGGGACAAGGGAGCACAGAGTCCGGGCTCAGGATTGGGGCCTGCCGCTCTGCCCTTTACGGCCCGCTTGCACGTTAACCTGCAAGTTAACCTAGAGGTAGTTACTGCTCTTCCCATTGCACAAATGAAGACTGGAAGAGATGGGGAAGACATGCCCGCCTGTACAGCCACTTAGTGGCAGAACTGGGACTTAAGTCTCACAGCAAAACAAAGTTGCTGGGAGCATTTTAAATGATTACTGTGTTCACGAACGTGGCCCGTTGCTATCATGTATATGGCAATTTATTCCACATATATTGACATGTTATTAACCGTCCTCCATGTGCCAGGTGACTAACCCTAAATCCCAGAGTCCGAACAACTGTTTTTTACAAACACAGTGCAGTCCATTTCTCTTTCATTTTGAAGGTTTTTTTCCCTTCTTCCATTGTATACGTGTGTGTGTGTGTGTGTTTTAAGAGAGGGGTAGAGAAACATCAATGTGTGATTGCATCTCGCGTGCCCGCTGCTGGGGACCTGGCCTGCAGACATGTGCCCTACACTGGGAATCGAATGGCCGGCACTCAATCCACTGAGCCACACCAGCCAGGGCCCATTGTGTGATTTTTGAAAACAGCTACCCCTTACTTGTTTTTTCCACTTACTGCTTTTCCTCATTCTTTATTTCCATAATCTTAATTTTTTTAATCCAATTTTCTTGGAAGGTCTTGGAACCAGAGCTGGCCTGCCCCGTTTTTACTTTCCTCATGAAATCCTGGGGTTAGGCATCTGAACTCGACCTCAGGGAGTCTGCTGGTGTCTACTGTAGGGTCCGCTGAGCTGCATTTCATCTTGGTGGTGGGGGAGCTCTCATCCTAGAGCAAGGCTGATCTTCCTGCTCTGTTCTGATCCCTGGAACCCAGCAGGGGCTATGTTCCCCACCGTGCCTGGACCTGGACCTTTGAGAAGCTCTGACGACATTGCTTGGTTTCCCTCGGAGGAACTGGTCTGGAGGAATTGAAAGCCTCCTCCTGGAGAATTGCCTCTGATCCTGTTTGTGGATTAGGTCTGCAGGATGTCTCCAGTAACATTTACAGCGCTGCCTTGCCAGAGCCAGGTGGCAGACAAGCCTGGAAAAGGGGCTCTTGAGGTTCTCCACGGTTCCCATAATGGAGTCCAGACTCTCCAGCCTGGCATCACTGGTCCCAAGAGTACCTCCACCACCGAGTTTCAATAGTCTAGGGGTTCCCTACTGGACTTCTGTGGTTCACTGACAGACCTGCTCTCTGGTTCCCAGCATGGCTGGCTCCCCTTGTCCCATCGTCCCCATTCCAGTTACAAGTTACCACAATGCAGCAGGCTTGATCCACTCTCCAGCTAAAAACCCTTTAGTGAGCCCTGGCTGGTGTGGCTCAGAGGATTGAGTGCCAGCCTATGAACCAAGGGGTCACTGGTTTGATTGCCAGTTGGGTCACATGCCTGGGTTGCAGGCCAGGTCCACAGTTCAGAGTGCACGAGAGGCAACTACACATTGATGTTTCTCCCCTTCTCCCTCCAAAAATAAATAAAATCTTAAAAAAAAAAAAAGAAAAGAAAAGCCTTTTGGAGATTCCTGTTTACCGGTAGGCCCTCCAAGCCCTAGCCCCTGCTTTCTCTACTCTCTGCTCCGTCTGGAGACCGGAAATTCCCTCTTTCTTTCATGCCTTCTGGACCTCTATAGACTTTCTCTACTTCCTCATTTCCAGACACCTAACTCCTACTTAGCCTTCAAAATTCATCCTTCAGGAGCAGATCCCTCCTAACCCGTTATGGCAATATCGTAATTATGTTGTCTGTCCCCCGCCAGGCTGTGAGTTTCTTGAGAGGCAGTATCACTATGGAGCACTGCCACCTGATTTGAATCCATCCTAGCTGTCACTTCTCAGCTGTAGGACAGTAGTAAGCTACCTAATCTCCATGCTTCAGTTTCTTCATCTATAAAACGGAGGTAAGAGTAGTACATACCTTTCAGGGTTGTTGTGAGGATTAAATTAATTACAGATTACATGTAAAGTGCCTTAGTTTCTATATTTTTTAACTTTGTGTCCTCAGCACTTGGTCCATTGCCACAATTGTAGATTCTCATTAAATGTTAAATAAATAAATAAATGGAATGCAGTCTATTCTGACTTTCATAATAGCCCCAAGAGATTAGCAGGGTCCATAATATCTCTTAGAGGTAAGAATGCAGATTCCAGAGGGGTTTAATGATTCCCCACCCCTTTCCCCAGGTCCACAAACACTTCATCTCTGGTCTGTGCATCCCAGGGCCTCTTCAGCAGAGGGTCCAGAGCATCTGCCCTCACCTGTCACGTCTCCTTGGAGTCTCCGGGCCTGGGCTCGATTGTTGTAGGCTGACGCCCTCTCAGGCAACAGATTGATGGCTTGGCCAAACCTCTCCAGGGCTGTGCTGAGGTCACCAGCCTCAGCTGCTATCACCCCCTGCAGCTCCAGAGCCTTGGACTGCTCCAACTGTGCTTGAGGGAAAACACCATCTGTGCAAGGGAGGGAGCCAGGAGGGGACAGGTATGCAATTGGGAACAAGAAGCAAAAGCCACCTCAGGCTTTGGAAACGTGAGCAAGAACTTAACTAAGCTGAGGTGTTGGTCACAGCAGGAGTCAGACACAGTATTTGGGGCAGGGGGACCTGAGGTCACCAGGGCTGAGAGCTGGCACTGCCTAAGTCACAAAGGGACCTGGGAAGGGGACCTTGGTTGGCTCCCATTATCAAGAGAATAAAGCTAGCTCACTGTAGTGAAAATACTTGCTCAAGGTCACACAGCCTGTAAGTTGCACAGCTTGGATTTGAACCCAGGTCTTTCTGGCTCCTTAGCCCATCTCCATTTTGTTCTACTGTATTACCTCCATCACGAAGTGCACTCATTGTGGAAGGATCAACTCAGTGCTTGGCTGGTAATAGTATGTAACACTGAATGCTTGCTTAGGTTGAAACCATGCCCTGCCCTCTTCCATTGTGGGGTGACACACTCTGTTATGACAAAGATGTGAGAGTTTAATACACGTCAACACAGTTAAGCTTGGATCATGGAGAGAATAAAGTGGTCAGGTAAGTTCAGAAGTGTGAGGACAAAAGGATTGAAACAAACCCTGGCTTTCTCTTCTTCCGAGAGTGAGTTGCCAAACCACCTTCAGTGCACTAAGGTATAGCCAACCTTTAATTCCAATCTCAATCATTGCCCAAGGGGCATGGAACAAACAAGGGACTTTGTTAAGTCCTTCCTCCCTCCCGCCAGCCAAAGAAGACCACTTCCCTCTACCTCCACAGGGAGGCCTGCAGACCAGCCAATGTAGAGAGCTATAATCCAAGGTCAAACACTCACCCTCATCTTCTTTCTCAGCTTCCTCTCCCAAGTCCAACCCAACAATGTCTCCAAATGGGGTGTCAGGGTTGAAGATGGCCTGTAACACTGCCTGATCATTTAGAGTCCCCATGGCGCTCCACTTCCAAAATCCAAAAAGGTGACTCAGGATGAGGAGTGGGGAAGATGTGGTGGGTGGGGACTGAGCTTTGCAGCCAATTGATCTAGAGGGAGGTTGAGGACCATCCTCCATGAAGAGGACTGTTTTCCATTCTTTTGGCTATAGTGTAAACTCAACCTTCTTTGGCCAGGGGTTAGTGACCCTGGTTTTGCAGAACATTTACAGGTATTTCTCAACTGCCTCCCCACCAGCACCGCCCCTCCCCCATCCTAGAAGAAACAGTAATAAATAAATCCCATTTCAGCCTTAAGGTGGAGTGGAGCAAAGAAAGAGTGCTGCCCAGGTTCTCCCTTAAATGCTTTTATTACATTCACAGATTGGGAGAAAATCCCTAGAAGCAACTGCTTCTAGGAGGGAGGTATGTAGACAGTAAAGGAGCTATTCCTTTGTCTTCTTGAGCCTATCTTCACAATCCAGAATTAATTAGGTCCTGAATAGACATCATTGATAAGGAAAGAAAATTTCATTGAGGAATGTAGAAGGCAATGAGGAATGATTTAATTACTCCACCTTAAAATAAAGGACTGTGGAAGGTACTTTGTAATCAGGTTACAAGCCACAGCCCACCCCCAACTCTCTACCCAAGGCAGTGCCAAAAGAAAGCTCCACGAAGTGCAGCAATAAACTTGACATGTTTATTAATTAAACTATCACTTAAATAAAAAAAAGTGCATAGAAAATAAACATGTTTAAAAACTCCTTTTTTTTACAACTATGTACACTTTTTACTTTTACATTCAGTCTTTCGTAGAGAGCTTTCAGCATTATTATTTTTTGAACTATTAAAGTTATTTTCCTTCATCCCTGTCACAGGGAGTTAACACTGATGGATTTTAGACACATTTTTTTCCTTTTTTTTTTTCTTTTTCTCTAACCAGAAGCTTGGAAGAACACAAGGGGGAAAAAAATAAACAACCAAAGATCTGTTATACATGATAAAGTTGTCAAGAAATGTCTTATTTCTAAAAAAGAAGCTTGTCATCTGTTGAGCTTTTTGAAACAATTATTCAACTACCTGTATTTACTAAGGAGACTGTTAAAAGTTCAATGAAAGAAACACCACAAATCTATTTTCTTGGTTGAAAGACAGAACTAGAGTACCTCGGAACAAGATACCAGGAAAGCACAGAACACAATTTTCCCCTAAATGCAGGTGGTAACCCCAACATTCATAACCAAAAATAGGAAACAAGGAGTACAGATACTGCCTGGCAACATTCACGGGCAGAAAAAAGATCCAGGTGACACCACTTCTGCATTTCTTTCTGATCCTAGGCGTGGGCCGTTTCCACTATCCTTTATGGTTTGGGTTTCTCCCTCATTTCGGATCAGAGAAGTGCCAGACTGACATTTTCCTGCCACTACTAGCAACTGTAACACAATCCTTATCTATAGTGTTAAGAGAATTAAAAGCCATGGACTGAACTAGGCTTCGTTACATGGTGCATTACTATATTAGTTCCTATATATATCATATTTATATTTATTTGAAAACCAAAACAAAAAAGTTGCAAGTTTTCAGAGTGTGAAACTTGACTGGTATTCATGATTCGGCACACACCATCTGCTCAATAACCTTGTATTGCTTTAAATGAAGGAAATGAAACAAAATTACACCCAGCCCTTTGAAATGACCCGCTTTTCCTTAAAAAAACAAAAACAAACAAAAAAAAACAAAAAGAAAACTATTTAAAAAATTCCAAATCAAACTTAAAAGTTATCATCTGACAAGGTTTTGACCTTTAGTATTTTCAGATTATTTGATTGAACATCAGTCCTTTAGAAAGATACATTCATTAAAAGGTTTTTTTTTTTTGTTTTTTGTTTTTTTTTTTTAAATCAAGGGAGCTGCATGGTGCTCACTGCATTGGCCGGGGGTTCGAGGCAAGCAGGATGTGGACTGGATCCCGGCAAAGGAGTCTGGTTGAAAACATATATAGCTGCCAGGGCTTCCCCCTTAATTCTTGTTATTGGTCTAAAAACAGGAGGGGCTGTGCTGGGATTGGTGGACAGTAACAGAGCGGGAGCCAAGGGACCAAATTCCGGCCAAAGGGTCAGCGCCATGCAGCTATTCTAGTTACACAGTTTTCACTGGCCACTAGGAAATGCAGCCACAACAGGTTCTAGCAGCAAAGCTGTAAGGGAGCTGGCTCTCACTGAGAACTGACCAGGTTTGCAGCCTGTTACTCCTTAGGGATTTGGGGTACCCCTTGGGGGATTCTTAGGAATGACCCACCACAGTTCCTGTCTGCACTTTTGTGCAGATTCCTTATGTCACTTTCAAAACAAACTCAGAGGTGTTTTGAAGGTAGCTATCCCATTTTTTTGCCTTTCTTTCTTTCTTTCTTTCTTTCTTGCAGGGAAACCATAGCTCTCTTCCCAAGTTGCTGGCAGGTATGCTGAATTTTGGCAATGAACTCAAGGCTGAGCTGTAAGGAGGAATTTCTCATTTCTGTGGTTATAATTAGGGAGTGGAAAGGCAAGGCAAACCATCTGTGGCTGGCAGAAGGAAAGATGTGGGCTCCTCCCCTGGCCTCAGGGTTTGGGACTGGTAGAAAGAGAATATGAGGAGGGGGCTCACAGTACAGCATGGCCTAGCAGGACAGTAACTAGGTCTGTTTAGCTGAGTTTCCCCCACCCCTAGACTGGCCTTGGGGTCTTTCTCAAGGTGAATTCATGACCCATCAGTGCATTAATCATTTCAGTAACAAATGCAGCTTAAGGTTTTTTTTCTAGGAAAAAAATAAAAAGAATAAAAGGATTTACAAAACAAAACAAAACAAAAAAAAAAAAACAAAAAAAAAACCTCACACAGTGCAATAATAAAGGAAACCAGACAATAGCGGAACCCCTTGGGCCACCGTGTCTCGTTCATGGGCAAAAGGAGGAAGGGAGGTGAGGTCTGGGTAGAGTGCTTTTCCCCAGTCCCCTGCTGGCACTTCTCCGTAACAAGGAAGTCTCTGCCATCCTGGCCACAGTGCTGGGCTCCCTGCATGACAGTGAAAACAGTGACAATGTTCCAGCACAGCCACCAAAGTTCATAAGGTCACGGAAGAATAGGGAGCCCAGGATGGAAGGCACAGCAGAACCACGAGTCCTGGAGCAGAGTGCTGGGCTGGGTTGTATTGCTTTGCTAGACTTCCATAGGATCGGGATTCTCCTGTGGAGAACAAGCTGTCTTGCCTCCACTGGACTATACTACTCTGAAACCTTATGGCTGACAAAGGCAGAGAGGAATCTTTTTATCGTGAGTGGTCAGACTGTGCTTCAGTTTCAACAGGCTGCCCCAAAAGAGGGCATGGGGGAATCTGTGGGTTCTTGCAGGTATGAGGACTTGGTGGGTAGAGGAAAGGGAACGAGGTGATCTATGAGGCAGATGGTGATGGAAATGTCAGGTTGCCATTCAACGTGGTTGCCAACTCTGGAGTAAGAAAGATGAGGGGAAAATAGATTACGACCTCTCGCCACTCTTAGCTAATGCCAGATAGGAGAGAGACAGTGTGGGAAAGAAGAGGAGTGGCCCAATGGAGTTGGGTGACCTTCCTTTTCCATTTATTGTCAAAGAGCAAACCCAGGAAACGTTTATGTCAACAGGGCACAAACTAGACATTAAACAACAAAAAGTACACCTTCCAGGGGGAAGTTGGGCAGGAAAAAACCAGACTTTGTGTGTACAGCTGAATATTTTCTTTGACTTCATCCTATGAAAATAAAAAATTATTTAAAACCAATCTTTTAAATTAGGATAATACCGCGGTTTAAAAATAGCCTTGTCATAAGTGCTTCTCCCTATGAAGTGCTTCTCATAGAAAAATATACAAAATATATTTACATTTATAAAACCTTAAATAGTAAACTGTAAACAGAACAGAGTAAAATCTGATGACTTAATTTAATAGGTTCAGGACACTGTCTTGGGGGAAGGGAGAGAAGACATATTTGACGCTGTTTGACCACATCCTAAGGAGTAATCAGGGCAGTAGTGTCATTTAATTTACTTTATCCATAGATTTTGCATAGGTGGCAGAGTTCCCTCAATAGTAGGTGGTCTAGTCCCCAAGTTTTGGGCGTGGAAATCTGATTAGTGTTGTGCCTTCAACTGGAAATTGACCATTTAAAAATTAAGTCTTCCTATGTCTTAACAACAGGAAAATAAAGTCACCATATCCTAGGAATGGGGCCCAGAGGTCACCCTGGTTGTGATACTCTGGTCGTTGCATGATTCAATTATTTAAATGATCTTTTCTTCTTCTAAAATATCATGCTATGTATATTTTGTTAAAACTCTCAGTGGGGCTTTAAGAAAACTAATTCTGTCTGGTTCTGGCCAATGGCTCCTGTCCATTTCCCCACTGGGAGTGCTCACAGGCTCAGGGAACGTTTCCATAGGCACATGGTATGCCCAGTAGGCAGTGTCCTTGAGCAGGGAGTCACTCTCCTACCACCCAGAAAGAATGGGAAAGCAGGGGATGAAGAACAGGGAAAACAAAAAAGTAGAGTGAAGAGAAGGAATGAGAGGGAAGCTGCTCCTATTATCAAGAAAGGTAATTGGCTGAGATAAGGCTCACGGGAATAATACTCCCACTTAAAGCCCACAGGCTAGATGTTTGGTAATTAATTGGCACAACCCCAAAACAGACTTTTGACATTAAAGATGCTAAGATTCCTGTTTCCCAACTAGAAGTAAACCCTCATGTGGGAAGATAGGGAAAACAACCAGACTTTCTCTGTTTGTTCAACAGATGGCTACTGGCTGAGCCTGGATGGCAAACTATCAAGTATCCAACCAACCAACCAACCAACCCACCCACCCTATATGTGAGGCTTTGCCTGACTCCTTGCTTACAGTGCTTGGGAAAGGACCAAGGAGAGGATGGCAACTTCTCTCTGAGGAGATGCTCAGGCCCAATCTCTCAAAATAACTAACCCATAGCCCCTTCCAGGCAAGTCTACTAGGGACCCCGTTTCCCACTTTTTAACAGCATATAATCAATCAGAGGGCCCCAGTTGAAAACAGATCACAGATCTTTTCTTTGAGACCATTATCTCTCTCCAGGGCTATGCTCACTTGTATAATGTGAATACAGGACATTTAAGGGAGCTCAGACATTATGGAGGCCCCTCAACTGAC